TTGACTATCACATTGAGCATAGGCCTCAGGTCCAGAAGCCCAAGCCAAGACTGCCAAGGTTTCCTGGTACTGCCACATCTGTCGGGTCTTTCAATGCAAATGGCTTCAAGAGCCACAACACATTCTTTGACAGCTCGAAGAACCCCTACACGAAGCCAAGAATATCATCAGATCGGTTCTGGAGTCATCAGCAGCGAAGCTATTACTCATGTGTTCTGTATGATCAAGGGTGCATTTTCCCTCATATGCGCCTCGACACTGAAGCCATTACTGGACTGCCCTGCTTATAAGAAGCACTTGACTGCTTTTGTGATGCTGGGCTGCTTAGTTTTGTCACAGATAAAGAACACTGGAATGAAGAGCTATTGCTTCAATTCTATGCTACTCTACACATTCGCGGCTACAACAGAGATACGAAGACATGGGTTCTCGAGTGGCTGACCGGAAATGTTCATCTTGAAGCCAAAGCTCTTGACATCATTGAGCTTACAGGCCTATCCACTCCCGGAGAACTCTATGAACCTGGTTGTCAAAATCACCGCAATGCTTTGGAAAGCATCTTCCATAAGCCTGAACCCAATATGAGTCAGATGTTGAGCATGATGAAGCCTTTGCCACGTGATGCTGAATATCCAAAGAAGTTCTTTGTTGATGACCTTGAGTATCTGTCGCGCACCATATATCATATCATCAGGCGAACTCTATGGCCTATCAAAGGACATTCATCAGCTGCAAAACTCGAAGGAGCCATGAAGACATTGGTTTTTTACATTCTCAATGGCATCAGCTTCAATGCACATGATTTCTTCATCAGGCAACTTGCTGCTTCTGGATCTGATTTGTTTGGTCTGAAGTTTTATGCTCCATGGGTCATGCGCCTCATCAAGCGACACTCATCTGTCAACTATCAACCTTCTGCTCGCAATCATGTGATCTTTCTACCAAAGGTTGATATGTCAGTTGAAGCCATATATTCTGACCCTGCCAAGAAGCGTCTTTGTCTTCAGAATGCCGAGCACCAAAACTTCACTCAACCCATTGAAGGTGTTCAAGCAGCAACACGAATCTATCCATTGGCTGTAAATACTCGCCTGCCTCATCGAGCACCTACTGAAGCCACTGAAAGCACTATTTCCCAAAGGCCTCGGAAGCGTTCTCGCGTCCTCAATGACCGAGAACTTCTTGTGGCCCTACATCAGAAGCAAGATAAGCATCATTTTTGGCTAAAGCGTCAAATGCAAAGCCTCTTGGTGGATGTCAATCGCATTCGTAACCATGCCACCATGAATGCCTTTGTTGCTCATGAAACTTGCCGGCGATCATGGAAGAGCTTGACCCTGCTAAGTGCTGAAGCAGATCTTCAAGACGATGGCTTCACTGAAAGATTCAAGTTTGACTCCACTCCTCCACGGAATGCTGTCCTACGAAGAACTCCATCTCTTGAAGACGCTGATTATTCTTCCTCCGCTGCAACTGTCAATGCCAATGTCATCGATGACGAAGATGATGCTACTTCACCACCTCCTACTTCTGCACGCATCGACACTGCACCAAGTTCATCTGCACCGCCAAACGACAACGACAACCCTGCTGCTTCAACTACTCCTCATGAGGACGAGTAGATGCTCTATGTCTTCAAACCTTTTTGGTCATTACTGACAAAAGGGGGAGAAGCATATGAGTTGATAGTCTTCAAGTGGGTTCATATGGGTGGTTGCATTATATTTTTGCCTCGTGCTTACAACTCTTGCTTTTTAAAAACATTTGGTTCTTTGAGTTGTAACACCTAAACTTGATGGTCGTCTGCTACTTATTTGCTTTACTGTGATGCGATGATAAATTCTGCATGTGCAATGATAACTTCTGCACTTAGATCATCCTGCAGACGTCCATTTTTCATTATGCATGTCATCCTATATGCTATATCATTTCATGCATGATGAATTATCTTCATAAGTTGAAGTGGATCTCCACAAGTACAACCTGCCATGTGCATTTGCATTCTACAAGCAAAATTACTTATATGCACATCTTCAGGGGGAGCCCTTGCTACTTATGAAGACAATTCCTATCCTTTACAATTTCACATACTTTATCCCCATTGAAAACTTCAACCAGTTTGTCATCAATCACCAAAAAGGGGGAGATTGTAAGTGCATCTAGTGCCACCCCTAGTTGGTTTTGGAGTATTGACGACAAAGTTGGTTGAGGGACTAATGCGTTTGTGAGAATTGCAGGATAATGCATGTACTGTCCCTCATTGATTCGGTTTACCTACCGGAGATGACCCCTAAAAATGTATGAAGACATTAAAGACAATGGTGGTATGAGAAGATATTCATATTGAAGACTATGACATGAGAAGACATTGCGTGAAAACTATGGAGCGTGAAGACTGTGTGGTTTCGTTGTTTCCTTTTCTTCTTTGTTGAGTCACAGGAACCACCGTACTGTTAAGTGGGGTCCAAGTGAACTAAGTCAGAGTGACTGAAGTGATGCTCAACCCAAATCCTATGTCTTCGAGCGAAGACAATGAGAGCAAATCTTATCCAGAGTTGGATGAGTCAGCTTTGCTTGTAGCCCAAGTAAAGTTGCCGCGTGTGTTTGAAATCTGACCGTTGGAACACGTGTCAGTTCCTTAGTGACCCAGGGTCATTTCGGACAAATCAAGTCGGGTTGCCTTGTGGCTATAAATAGCCCACCCCCTACACCATAAATTGGTGGCTGCTCAGAGTTAGTATACGGCTTTTGTCGTTTGAGAGCAACCCACCTCGAAGCATTTGAGAGAGAGAAATCCTTGCGAGGACAAAGCCCAAACACCGAGAGCCAAAGAGTGTTAGGCATCACTGAAGTCTTTCTGTCTGTGTGACCTGAAGACTTATTACACTTGAGGACTGTGTATCCTCCAGCCGGTTAGGCGTCGCGTTCTGAGCATCCAAGAGTCATTGTGGATTGCCAGGTGAACGAAGTTTGTGAAGGTTCGGAAGTCTACCTTGAAGACTTACCAGAGTAATTGGGTGAGGACTAAGTGTCCTTAGCTCAAGGGGAATAAGGTGAAGACACGGTCTTCTGAGTTGAATCTCAACCTCCCTAACCAGACGTACAGTTGTCACAGCAACTGGAACTGGTCCAACAAATCACGTGTCCTCAACAAGTGACTGGTTCTATCTCTTCCCTCCTTTACTTTGAGTTTGTCTTCGTGAAGTCATTACTTATCTGTCTTATCGATTGACTTCATTGCTTGACTACTATTGTTGATCGGCTTCATACTATCTTCCATCCTGATCCTACTACCTAGCTGCTATTAGTCTTCGTACGTTAACACTATTGCATACTTGACTATGGCTTGCTTGTTGTAGTTTATCTTCCGCTGCATATCAATTAGGTTATTTCTATTGTTTGTCTTCGAAACTTCCACGTTTTGAAGACTTTGATAAAAATCGCCTATTCACCCCCCCCCTAGTCGATAACTAGCACTTTCAGGGTCATAAGGACTGCCTAGCCATACATGGCGCCCAAGAGTTAGTGATAATAGAATTTTTATGAGATTATGAACCTCAAAATATGAGACCCTACTTTTCATGGGTGAAACTAAATTGCATCGAGAATAGCAATTGCACCATCGTTCCCGATATGCTATCTATCAGCCACAATTGGTTTGCAATCTGAAACAACGAGGTGAGCATCCAATGCCAAATCTTCATTGAAAAGTTTTCATGTAATCAAAGTAGTCTTCAACTTTTTGACATATTCATGAGGCACATCCTACGTCCCGCCATATGCGGCATATAGTCGCCCTACCACACCAAGCTAACAATAGAGGCCCACCCATTAGCTACTTTAGGTGTTCTACTGGTTTTGGGAACCTTCTAGACGCTTCTAATACGGTTTTCTTAGTTTTAGGAAGATTCTAAAAGGTCCCGGTTCAGTATTTTTCTTGATATTTCTTTATAGTGTCTAGTTTTCTAAAATGTCTAAATATTTTCAATAAAATTCCAATTTCCCAAATTGTTCGGCATTTTAAAAAAATCAAGAAATATTCGAAGTTTGCAAAAATATTTCCAATTTTACAAGTTGTCCGAATATTATAAATTTTAAAAAAAATTGGAATTTTTATAATTTTCCAAAAAACATTCTGAATTTTTAGAAATTGTTTGATATTATCAAAAAATTACCGCAATTTTCAAGTTTATTCGTAAAATTGTAAAGGAACTCTATAAAAATTGTTTGAAATTTAAAAAATGTTCTGATTTTCTAGCAAACGATCACATTTTCAAAACAATTGTAAAATATATTCTTATTTTAAGAAAATGCTCACATTTCAAAAACTGTTCACAAATTTGGAAAATAGTCTGAATTTGAAAGCAATGCTCGTGTTTTTAAAATCAATGCACGTTTTCAAAAATCACAATAGCGAAAAATGCTTGAGTTTGTTGAAAAATGTTCAGATTTTAAAAAACATTCTTCACAATGTCAAGAAAAATTCTCAGTTTCAAAAAAAAGTTAGTGTTTTGCAAAAATTAATCTTATTACACAAAAAAATGCGGATTTAGTAAGTTGCCTACTATTTCTGTATAAATTTTTGCCTTTTGATATAAAAATCGAGTGAAAAAAAACTAGGAAAAAACGTAACGCTGCTCGCTACAGTACTGCTGCTTGCTAGAGCGAATTGTTGTGAGAAACTCGAGCGTTTTGGCGCAGTGAGCGTCCAATAGGCGCTTATTCTTTACTTTTTTTTTAGGGGCTGCGCTCCTTCTTTACTATCCCGTTCGTCTTGTGCAGGGTTGCCGTGGGCCTCCGGCCCGTTGGCCGATGGGGTTGTCGTAGGGCCTAACGGTTAAGCATGCCAGTGCGGCTACGATCGGGCGGCTGGGATTAATCGGGCCGACGTGGCGCAGAGGAAAGAATGGATAAGACAAACGCCATCGTCCTATGACGCTCTCTGCCCGCGCAGGCACAGCTGAGCCTCGCCTCGCCTCTCCAGTCTCCACCGTCCGTCCATGGCTTCTCGAGCCCTCGCCGCGCTGTCCATCCAGCCGCGCCTCGGCGGGGGCGCGTCGGCGCTCGGACGGCCCGCCGTCCGCGTCCGCGCCAGGCCGCCGCGGCGGCGCCGGCCCATGGTGGTGCGGGCGGGCGGGCCGCCGAGCACCAACGTGCTCATCCTCGCCTTCGTGCTCCCGCTCTCGCTCTTCGTCGGCACCCTCGTCGCCGCCGCCCGCGTCGCCGACGACCTCGACGAGCGGTTCCTCCGGGAGGTACGCGCCTCTCCGCCCAAGCACGTACTCTGTATGAAGTATGAACAAGCATCTGCTGATTGGCATGTAGTATCATTGAGAGATAAATTATCGTATGTGCATGTGCAGATGGAGATCAACAAGGCGATACTGGAGGAGAACGAGGCTTCCTCCGAGGAGGCGGCAGACGGCGGCGGAGAGTACGTCGTCAACGGAGACGAGGCCGCGTTGCCGGCGGCGGAGAAGGAGCAGGTCCTTGTCACAGCTACTGGCACTGGCACGCGCGCCAGGAACAGGCCGAAAAGGGAAGTGTATTAGCTACTAGCTAGATTTGCACGGAGGGAAATGCTTTGCTACCTTTGAGATGTGTCCGTCAATCAGCTTGTAAATCTTTTGCAAATGTTTCAGTGTGATTGATAGCATATGCAAGTTAATGCGCGATCAAATATATATACCCCAGGCAACTGAAGAACGAAGCTGATAATATATATTTTGAGGTATATATACCAAGGAGCTGAAGCGCTTCATAACTGTTTTTTCAGAGGAGCAATGCTACACCTACGTAGCTGTTGTGCGTAAACTAACGTAACAGCTTAGGTGTCTTTTTTCCACGTAGTTTCTTTCGTACGAAAGAAACTACGTACGCTTACGTAACTTGACTAAAACTAATCCCTCCACCCCCCCTGATTTTAACTGGGTGGGTCCCTCCCCCTAATTCCCTCCAACAGAAAAAAGACACCTAAGCTGTTACGTTAGTTTACGCACAACAGCTACGTAGGTGTAGCATTGCTCCCATACGTGCATGCTGTCTATCCGTAGTCTTTTCTTAGAAGGATCATACATGAGAAAGTTGTGCAACGGTGAAATTTGTGGCTTTTAAGACAGTACTCTAAAGAGGTACTGAGATGCTAGGCAAAGCAAATCAAAGCTTTATGCCATCATACATTTCAGACAACAACCAGGAAGAAGCAAAATAAACAGACATTTATTCCAACCTTTTTTGTGTGGAATCATTTATTCAAGCTTGTTACAAGTATCCTTTTATGAACTCTATGTACCACATGCTTGTGCCAGTTTGTGTAACTCAAGCAAGAGATGTTTGTGCTGTGTGTAAACAGTGATACATACAGTGTTGTCCTTCTTTGTAACATCTGCTGTAGTTTTAATTTTAAAAACGACGAAAACATCTTACACGAGACCTGTCCCCGTCTAGCGGAAATAGCCGTAGAGCTCCAGGAAGCAGATGCAGAGGTTCCAGGTGTTACTGGTCGTCGGCCCCGTCAGAGCAAGCCGGAAGAACCGGAACGGCAGCAGCGCCGATGGGCCTGTGATCGGCCATGATGCAAACTGCCCTGGTTGGCAAATAGCCCGCTCGTCCTCGTTAACAACGAGGCTTGTCCAGTTCTCACCATCCATGGATCCCTGACATGCGCGATGCATGGTTAGCTCATGTCAACCATTCAGCTCTCAGAAGAAACGCAAAGCAAAGAAAGATTTGTACCTGAAGAACCCAAGACCTCATGAATGCCGTAGAGCCATCCTGCCTTACCGTGTAGTAGTTGCACATAAGCTGCACGAAAACATAACACAATAACTTAACGTCTTTGCTCAAATCAAACAAAAGAACCGTTTTCTTTTATATCTTCACATAAACAACCTGGTGGTCCTGTCCAATGTCTACCATCCACCAAGAACACTTCTTGCCATCTTCGTCTCGAGGCCCAGCAAAACAAGTCCCCTGGTGTCATGTGTCCCAACATGTCAACTTTATCCCATGCAAGGGAAAATTATACTAAAAGAAATGTTTCCCAAGCATTCTCAATAACATCAATACCTGGTAATTTTTTGAAACCAGAGCCTTTGGGTCCGTGTACCTCGAATTTGGGCTGCTTGCCGTCACAGTGATATTCTGGTCGCAGAGAATTAGAGCCACTGAAAACCCGAGTTACTTCTATGTTGAATACTCACAAACACAAACCTCTCTCTTACCTTGGCTAAAACAGGATTGATCCATTGATGCTTCCCGAATGACGTCCCAGCATAGTAGATCACACCATTGTTATCACCATCAGAAATATACTGAAGCTCTCTATAGCTTGAGCGTCTATGTAGAAATCTCTCGCTGGAAGGTTTAAGGTTCATAAATATTCAGGCATACCAACTCTTACTGAACTTGATCAATGCATTAACATATACTGACCATTTGTTTGTCATCATCATCCATGGACCAGCATTAGAGAACTCAATGGCTTCTGCAACCTGTTATCCAAGAAGTAAATCAGCTGTACAGTTCCTGTGTAGGATAACATACCCTGACGTGCCAAAAAAATGGATCTATATAATTACTAACCAACTGTCTGAACAGTTGAATGTGCTTTGCTAGGTTACTTTTCTCCATCTGCAGAGAACCAACAAGTGTTTATTAGGAGCAAAACAAACATTCAGCAGAAGGTTAAAACTGATCCATGATAGGACAATATAAAAACAAACGGTAGTACCCGCTGAAGGAGAGACGGCGGCATTAAAGGGAACCGCACAAATGGTAGTAAAGTATTGATGGCGGTGAGCCTCTCTCCAAAGAGCTGCTCTGGTGTTGAAGTGCTTAATAGCTTATCTACAGAACTCCAGTAAAAAGTTTCACAAGCCTCCATACACCATGTTAAGATGGCATCCAGAACCTTCTCTTCCGATGTCACAGTCATATCACCTTGCTGCAAAATTACTACTAATATGACCAATGTCGACAAGAAAAACTTGCTAAACTTCTCAGGAACGCAGTCCATTTAGGACAAATGTTATGCATGCCATTTTGCAACTTGCAAGAAACTTAGCATGCAGTTCCGTACAGATTTATTCAATTATGTAATCCTTAACTTTAATACATGCACCAGAGATACCACTGATGTTCAGCATATGTTGGCAAAACCAACATTTGAAGTAATAAAAGAGAGCTTTCACCTTCCATACCTAACCATATGACAATTGTAGGATTCGATTACTACCGGAAAGTTACCATTTTACAAAGACTACAGGAAGATACTTTTGCTTGGTAGGAAAAATCCAAAATTAGATATGAGATTTCTTTTGAAGAGCTTTATCAACACAGTTATAATCCTTAAGTTGTTTCTAGTAACATCGCTGCACTTGTGGGAGGTGACAGTTGAAGCAATCTATTACTGCTTTCGAATGTGATGCTCAATCTCAGTGGTCTGGTCACCTTATACCTATTTTCTCATGGACGTGATTCGTATTTGGCCTGACTGCAGGGCAATTGATAAAATGAAAACAGTATTCCAACTTGCCTGAAGAATATCCTTAAATGTTGCCTCATCTAACAGCACAAAGTCCGTGCAAGCAGTTGTGCAATAATCAAAATGTGTTGCAAAATTCTGTTTGCACATTTCTTCAAGCAGTTTACAAGATGGTATTGATGACACTGCTTGTAATACTGAACATACTGTGTCCTGCAATAAACTTTCAGGGGTCAGTCTATGCCGAGCCAGCTAGCAAGTTCACCAAATGTGCACAAGCCATATCCCTTAAATTCGTTAAAATAAGCTTCTTCCAGTAGAACAGTCGAATCCTGCATGTATAATGCAGATGGAAAGTTGTATCAATATCTCAAAGAATTAAATTCCGAGGCTAATGGCCCCACTTCTACAACCAGCACAGGCCCGCGTCAAGTCTTGAATAGCAACAGATAAAAGTTACTTAATTGCATCACTTGGTGTAGCATTCTATGTAAGAGGAAGCAAAGGTACCTCTGAAAGGAATTCCATAATTCTTTTACAGCATTCAAACTGAAGAACAGTGATGGCGAACTGATCTGATAATAAAAGCAGCTGAACCAATGCAGGTGTGATATACTGGTTATCCACTTTAAGTTCCCCACTGTACATAAACTGAAGGAGGAGAGAAAATGCTTCAGCAGAAGCATCTTCGAAAAATACATTCGGAGCACTGCTTTCTTTCATCCCATTTGTGAACATCTGCATAAGTATACAAGTATCTTTGATTACACTAAGTTTGACGCACTATGCCAAAATGTGAATATTGTAAACCAACAAAGAAAAAACCAGAAACAAATACAAAGTCGGGACAAAGATGTACCTTGGCGAATGGCATGCTCCACAAGCTAAGGACGAGTTTGTGAGCCTTGGCAACAAAACCTTGTCCACCAACAAAGATATTTATATCACTATGCTCACCACTTGCAAGGAATTGTTTGATTTTCTGCACACTCACTGGAGCCTTGAAAGGGAAATAATCAACTTGATGGGCTTGAGATCCACTACTTGATACTTCTAAGTTTCTACTAGACACAGAGCGATCATTATCCATCTTAGTAAAACAGTCGAGCATTTCTTCACAACGTTTTACCAAAGGTTTAACTTTAAATTGTAAGCTCAACTCCAGCAGTGAATCCAGCTGCCACTCCGCAATCTGCGTTAACCCCAAAATAAGAGCACGCTATACATTAACGGTCTCCACCATTGCTTAATTTCAATATAAGAGCATTTGAAACAAATCGAAGCTTACCTGAGTAGACCCTGTATAGATATACTCAAGAAGCGAGTGGAGAACTGGGTAGGAGAATGACGGAAGCTCGATGGCAGTTCCACTCATTGAGATAAAATCAAACTCTCCAGAAGCAACCAAGACAATTTTGTGCGCAGGAACAACCTTTCTTTCACTACCAACAACGAACATAGCATCGGAGAAATCCAAACTCTCAAGAAAGTCTGCAATCACCCTTTGCTCACAGCCATCTTTTGATTCTTCATTTTTAGCATGACCTCCTTCCCCGTGCCGCTCAGCATATGCATACTCAATTTGACTCCAACGGATGCTGTTTTGAGGAGCTGATGGAAGAACACTTATATTTCGGTAGCCCACATGCTTGTCCCAGCTGGATAATCCGACATACTGAACATTTTGGTTGGGATCAGGGTCGAGCCACTGGAAGAGGACATTGTTGTTTGGATGCCTTCCTTGTCCAATGCTTATCAATCCATCATAGATGCTGATCCAGTAGCTCTGGAAAGATGATGAGCGGCATAGGCCGACTCCAGCTTCATCGACAACAGTCCTTCCATCCACTTCAATCTTCAACCTTTTGTTCCTATGGCTACCCAAGATGACAGCGTAATGACGACTGCTGTCCATTTTGTAGTGGTAGTGCTGGCTCCCAGGCTGTTCACGGAACACCAGGGTAACATCATTCTGGGCAGATGCCTCAAACGCAATGCAGCCACGCCCAGCCTCCACAAATCGGAACTCCTCGCCCCAAGCACACTTGAAGGGGGCAACTGTTAGGG